TTTCCCAACTGTATTCTTGTGAGAGTTCCGCCTTTCATTAAAGCTGCTGATTAGCGGAAAAGATAAGATTAAGTTTCCATAATTTCCAGTCTACACAAACGCACCATTCAGAGCACAGGGCAAGTTGCTCAGGCCCCTCTCATGCATGTAAACTCGGACAAAGGTTGAGAATTCCAGCTGTGGCTGATTCAGCTCTGCCCCTGAGTGTCAGTATGTTCTATAATCATAAGAGTCGGCCACAGTATACTCAGTATATACTATACAGTAATAACGTGTTACTCTCAGACCCTTAGAACCAATATAAAGCAAATCCCTCTTCATAAGGTGTGTAATTAATTCTTCTGTGTAGGAGTTTGCAAACAGTCATTTGTCTTTTGTGCATTATGTCTGATGATGCAGTATAATTACATGCTGCCTATATCAATTCATCATAGCGCCTTGTAATTAGTCTCAATTAATTTAGTTTTGAAAGACACAGTGAGCTTTATGAGGTGTATTATGAACCTCTTCTTTTACTACAAGCTGATAGAAATAGTAAAGTTCTTATTTTGTATGTCTTAAATTTTAAACCTGAAAGTCTTGGAAGATTAAAGAGTTGTTTTGCTAAGTTTTTGGTTATTTAATGTATCATTTGGCATAACCTCCACACCTGCACCCTCCATAATCATTCTTTTCACTTTTATCCATTGCAGCAGTCCAGAACAGATATGCCCAGACTTCCATAAACCTCTCTACTCATCTGGGGGAGTCCCAAAGTGTTCCCAGGCCAGCGCAGAGCATAGTTACAGCGTATCCAGGGTGTCCTCCCTGTGGGTTTTCAGGAGGTTATCGAACAGACACAAGAGCCACCTGAGCTGGCTCCTCTCCATGTGGAGGATCAACAGCTCAACCCTGAGCTTCTCCCTGTATGAGAACGTCCAGCCACCAGCAATCTTACCCTTTCAATCATTACGAGGCCTGTGACCATAAGTGAAGACGGGAACATTGAAACTCCTGTGTGTTTTGCACTTGTTGGTCAACTGGATTTACCAAATACAATATGTCTTAGCTCTTTAATGTTCTCTCCTTGAAGAAAGCTATGCCATTATTTATTTTTTGGATTTTATAAGATGCAGGTCACTAATAACACCATTTGTTTACTCTTTTTTTATTCTAGGCCTTTACCAAATAGTTGAGAGGCAGTCTGAAGTAAAAGTGGCTAAAACCAAGTGATAAGCCCCTAAGAGGAAGATTTCAGTTCCAAGCTTATGGTAGATAAAGTGACTCAAAAAGTAATCTATGGTTCAGGAAACCATTAAAGGTTTAGAAGTCTCTTTGTTGCACCAGTGTGTTTGAAGTACTCACTCAGAACCCCAAGTGAACCAGAGTTAACTTCCATTTGACCAAGTGTGAACACACCCTTTCTCATCAAGCTGAGTGAAACTGAGTCTGGATCAGATACTGACATCACAGGAGATGTTATCCACTCTGGGACTTACGGTGAATGTCTGTCTGTTCATCCAGGAGTTCCACGCAAGTTCACGTATCTATCTGAGAAATCTGTCCTCGGTGTTTGACTTTTAATATTGAGCATTACACACAGTGAGAGTGACGGTGGCGGTGGCCCATCTCCAGGTCGCTCCACTTGATCTTCACTGGATCCCAATGTTTCATCTAGTTTCTAACGAAAAAGTGTCCAGCTTTTATTTTTTGTACGCTGGAAACTTGCTGTGATGTATGAGTGCTAACAACTCTCCTGCCTCAAATAAAAAATAATAGATTCTACTACATCAGTAATTTACAAAAAATATATTCAAAAAAATTCTGTCAAATGTAACTCTATACCTTGACTCATTGACTGCCAGACCAACAGAATTTTGTGTGCTGTGACTATGAAGAAAATGAAACCAGATTCTGAAAGATTGGACCGTCTACTTTCATCAGCAAAAATATGTTGGTATCTATCCAGTTTTGTCCTGCTGTAATCTTCAGTCGAATAGAGAGAAGTTTGACAGAGATCACCAGTCTCAGCCAAATATGTCCATGGCAGTCAATGAGTTGTCTGCATTTCATGAATTTTATTTTGCAATGTACTTTAAAGCCTTTTGCACGCATGCGGATTGAATGTTTTCAAACTGTGTATACCTTGATGTATTCTAAATAAATTATCAATTGTTTAACTTTTTTCATAATTCTTGTCAGACATTTTGTATTAATGATCCTTCCAACTGCTTCACATTTCCCCGGCATCCCAACACCCCGTCTCCTCCATCCTCCAGCGTTTACTTGCCTGAGGTGATCATTGTCGACACAAACACTAATCATGTCTGTTCTGATAGCCTTCCTGCCTCTCAGCTACGCACTTGCAAGTCACCGCTCTCGAGTTACCTCCAAGAACACACACAGGGGCAGGAGAGCAAAGGGACAACGTGTAACCTACGCTGAAAGGAAAGTGGGATCCAGCAGAACCTGTTAGACCAGTTCCTAATGGAAGAAAGGGAAGCAATGAGGGAAGCCATGATGTGGAATATGACCTATTAATCATTCATTATCTCCCCAGCACTGGTAATGAGGTGACGACTCTTAAATAATTAGCAGTGTGAGTGGAGCGTATTTCCATAGCACTCGCCTAAGGAGGTGGAGGGCATCAGGGACGAGCAGTGAAGGCAGCGTCGGATGCACCGGAGACAAAGAGAACATCATAATAATACCAGCAACAAACAAATCATCTTTAAGTTGGAGCTCTGGTGGAATCTGACCTGCATGATTTGGACCTCTGTCATATTTGTATTAGTGCTAAACTTTATCTCTGAAATGTATTTGTTCCAATCCACATTGCTACTTATCAATTTAATTTAGAGAGAAAGTCATTTATTCGTCCCACAATGGGGAAATTTCAGTTTGATGCATTTACACATACATCAGCAAACATCACTTCTGTGCTCCTAATAGGCAAAGTGGGTTAAGTGTCTTGCCCAAGGACACAGATGTCAGTGGGAGTCGGTGGAGAACCCACGACCTTTGGGCCCAAAGACCAATGCTCTACCAACTGAGCCACTGTCGCCCCGTTAATGTGTTCTTGTATAGCCCTAAATAACAACAGTAGTTTTCTCAGAGGACTTAACAAAACCATTGAATTCGCCAAAACAGATTTCATTTTGTTTATTTTGAAACATGTGTGCATATTTTATATATAACTCTACAAACAAATCAAAAAAATTCTATTACAATCACAAGTTCAAAAGGGAGTAGGAATAATCAAATGCTCATGTGGTCCTACCCCAGATCAGAGAAAAAAAGTGTACATAATATCCATATCTTAGGCGTCTGCGTCATTGCTATCTCAAACGATGACGTCTCTGTTCTTATGCACATCGAAACACATCATATAAAGAATTGTCTTCTTTTGTTCTATCTGAAAGAACTCGGGGGAAAAAAGGGCTAACAGTGCAAGAGATCGCTGCTGCCTCTGTCTCATTTTTCGACACTCTCTTCTTTTGTAGCGTAACGTAAAGAAATGAAGTCAAGGCAGCGGCGATTGCACCTGTACCATGGTTTATTTTTGAGTCCCTCCAGATCCAACCAAAGGAGACAGAGATTGTGAGAAAAGTGAGAACAGAGATGTCATTGCTTGAGATATTAATGACTCATGCTAAAGATATATTTACTGTAGTAACAATGTGTCAGAACAAATACGTTCTTCAGATAATAATGTTCAGCAGCAATACAGATATAACAGGAGTCTGCAGTATACAATATGCAAGTCAGACTGCACAGTAATCCTGAAAAAAAAGTTGTATAATGTGAATGCACATTACTTAACACGCATAAATGGCACGAGACTCAGATTTATAAATGTACTTAGAAAATCCTACAGGCTATGCAGGAAACTCAATAAAACCATATTGAGACAAGCTAAAGCCATGTAGGTTAACGCTCTCTAAATAGTTGTCTCTATACATAGTGGGCGTTTAGGTTGCTCAGTCGACAGCCCTTATTATCACTCCGTCTCATTTCAAGAGCTGCAGTTCAGGGCCTTCAGGCTTTTCCCAACCCACAAGTCAACAGGGATCCATGCAGCCAGCTCGCAGCCCGGCCCGCCATGCCTCCATTCATCCAGCTCAAAACACACAAAAGAGCAGACCCTGAGCCGCATTCTTGACATCCAACCTCATCACCCCCGCTACGCGCCCCTCTACTGCCTCACTCCTCACATCCCCATGTCTTTCCCTTGGCCCTGCTGGCGAGTATGTGAGCGCGTTGGGTCGCCCCTCCCCCCAGTGCCCTGCAGCCTACAGCACCAACAGGGCAGGCAGGGCGCTTGTGCTTATGTGCGCTACCTACCACACTGCTTATGGAGTTGTTTGGTTGGAGGATGGGAAACACAGCAGAGGGAAGGAGTCAGGGAGGGAGGAAGGGGGAAGGGATGTTTTCTGTTCAGTCAGCTAATTGACTCACAGATGTCGAGAGGAGTCGGGTTGGTGGCTGTTTTGTGGCTGGAGTGTGCAAGGTCCACTCCTAGTCATAAACACATGTCACACCTGATAGCTCACCGAGGCATGTTGTTGTCCAGTGGCTCTGGCATTACTCACATACTTTTATCATGATGTAATGTTTGTGTTCAAAAACACATCTAACTTTGGCATGGTGTAAAATACCACATGGACGTGAAAGGTGATTTTATTAGGCCTATTTAAGCTAATTGATATTCTTGTACATATCATACATGTGTGAGATTTCATAACACTTTGAAGCAACTTTTGTTAAAGTTAAACTCATCATTCTATCAATGTGCAGAAGCCTGTACTTTTCCCTTGTTTTGTCTATCTGAAGGCCAAGCTACATGGCACTGTGGCAGCTGCTGATTGGAGGTCTCCATGCCTCCGCTCTGTATAATTCACTTGCATTCTGTTGTTCGTGTTGTTCGTGCTGTCTCTACCATCGACAATAAAACATGTCTTCTGTCTGAATGAAAGACGCGATCCCAGACTTGGCTCATCTTCTTCACATGTTGCCTTTTTTTAAGACTCTTCTGCAGAGCAGGGAAAGTGACGCATGCTCCCTCTCCCCACCTGCTCGTCCCACCTGACCTCTCCTCCACCATCCAGCCATACCCAAGTGTTCATCTGAACAACAAACTGAGATGTATTCAGCTGTTAGCAGCTAACACCGGTTCTTTGTGAGAGTAACAAAAACAAAGAACAGTTCTGAGGGTAGCTGAAAAGAGGGGAAAGACAGTAGTGGGCAAAAAACTATAGTGGTCATTTTTTGGGACTTTTGGGAAAAATGTCCTAAATATTGTTAAGATTGTTCTTTCCCCCTGAAGTGCAGTGGTAAGGTAGAGGACGTTAGGTTCCTGGATAAACTTTTTATCTTTGCTGGACCATGGCTCTTAAACCCCTGTTTGCTCTAGAGAGCAGCTTCAGTGACAGACTGATCCAGCTTCACGGTGGCAGACAGAATCATCCTGTGGTCAGTCAATAAATTCATATTGTATTTGAACAATTATAGACTACTAACTCATTTTGACCAATATAATCAAATACACACTGCACACGTGTCATTGTTTTGTTTTGGTTTTGTTGCTTATACAAAACAGGAAACATGGCACGTTGTCATGTGCTACGGAAATGAAATGACTTTTGCTACTGCAGTTGAGAATGTGTGAAGATCAAATACTCAGAGTTAACAAGATGCTGCAAGGAAAGGCAAGGCGAGCTTAAATCAACAATCATACATGTAAACACAAAAATAAATCACATCAGAGTTAATAAAGTGAAGAACAGATTTTTGTTTCAGATGTATTCTCAGCAGAACAGAACTATTTTAACATTGTCAGAGTAGAAGCTTGTCTCATATTTTCAGGAAGACAGTTCCAAATTTTAGCCACATGAATGGGGCGCACAGGACCGGTGCTACTCAGAGTTGCATTGTCACATTTTCCAAAATGGTGTGTTTACAGTGTAGTGTTTATGATTTCTAGTTCATTTACAATTCCTGTTGCTTATCAATCGGATAAAGCGCCTCACAAACAAACACAGGACCCGAGTGGTCAGACCGGTTTGGAAGCAACGTTGTATAGTGAGTTTTTTATTGTATGTATGTGTATTCCGTATTCTAATTTTTCATGATCTTGTCGAGTGGAAATGTCACTAAATATTTGATTGTGAAGGTTGGCAAAATCTACTCACCTCAAATATCTCATTTTGAAAACCACTGATTTTTTAAAACCAGGCAGAAAACAAAAACAAATCTGAAGAAAACCAAACAAAACAGGACATGTACACAGGGTGCTAGAATTTAATGACAACCACATGTTTAAAAAGTTGGTGGAGTGCCATGTTTAGCATTCTGTAGCACAGTCAGTAAATGTCTGGGCAGGGAGGAGACCAGCTGCTGGAGTTTGGGGCGAAGAATGTGGTCCTATTCTTGTCAGATGGAGCTGCTAAGTCTCCCAAAGTCATTCCTTCCATCTCAGTTTATGATGCTCCACATGTTTCCTATGGTTAAGGTGCTATTGACAAAAGTCTGGAATCACGGTCAAAATAGAAGTGAGGGTTGTTCCTATCACTTTGCCCAAGGTTGCATTTTTTGTGGATGTTTTTCAAGATGTTTTTAGACCTTTTTTATGAATAAGTTTTAAATAAAGTTTGATTGATCCGTGTGGGTCATTTTCAAAAAGCGTATTCAAGTGGACCCCAAAATAACCTTTAAAACTCCCTCTGGAATATTCTCTAATCCCAGTAACATTGGTCAAAAAACTAAGTAAAGAAACAAATCTCTGTATGTGTGTCAATGATAGTGTCTGCACTTTAAAAGGTTATAACTCAAAAACTAAAATAACTATCATAGATTAGGACAACAAAATTCAAACACAGACATATCAAAGAGATAGTGTGGATAAAATCAAAAGAAAAGATTGAACAATACATTTTTGGCAGAGTAAACAAAACAAAAAACAGATCGGTCTTTGATTGGATAATTCTACTGTGACTCAGTGACAGGAAATAAAAAGTCCTCAGTCTGAAAGCGGCAGATGAACATTAACACTTCATTTAAAAAATAATCTATACAAATTTAAATGACCCTCGAAAAACGTGTTATACAAGTCATGATTTCCATCACTTTTTTTCTAAAAATTAAACTTGAGAACAAAAATTAACATTTTTCTATATGAAAGAAATCACGTTGTTTCTACTCTGTGTAAAAAAAATCAAATGTGGACATCTGAAACATCCGCAGCTCATTCGTCAAAGCATCAGGTCCGTGACACAGATACACAGACACTAAAGAACATGTGACTAATGTATAAAACAGTTCTCTGCTAGCTCCACTAATGCACAGAAGAGGTTTTTGGATACATTAACATGAATATATCTTCTAATTATTAACATCTATTGTTCTGTCACACTTTTATACCCTTTAGTGTGAAAAAGCCCATGTCTTCAGAAATGTTTCACTAAGTTAGCTAGAACACCTAATAATGAGTAATTGTAAAGTATTTTCTCACAGTGGATTATACAGATACAAGAGGCACCGGCAAAATACATGTGCACATGTGAACTTGAAGGGGTTAATCTAGTTTGTATTCACTAAATGCAGAGAAAGTTTAAAGTCTACAGCCCTCCTTCAGACCTGGTTCAGTCCTGGTTCAGTCCTGGTGCAGACCTGGTTCAGACCTAGTTCAAACCTTGTTCAAACCTTGCTCAGACCTGGTTCAGACCTAGTTCAAACCTAGTTCAAACCTTGCTCAGACCTGGTTCAGACCTAGTTCAGACCTAGTTCAGACCTTGCTCAGACCTAGTTCAGACCTAGTTCAGACCTTGCTCAGACCTTGCTCAGACCTTGCTCGGACCTAGCCTGGCCATAGCCATCCGTACACTCCGCTTAGTCGTCATTTCACTGCCTGTAACCGTCTGGGTCTGATCCCTGTGTTAGCGAATACAATCGGTCGTATTTCGACCGGCTACTCAGAGAGCGCGTAAGGCGGGTGTTGTAGGTCGGTGCCGGTGACGTCAAGAGTTTGCGCCGAACGGGCAGGTTGTAGTTTGGCAGTGGCGAAGAATGCAATAGTAAAGTAATCCGGTCTGGTTCTATCAAGAAATTGAAGCAGGAGCAAGAGGAATGTTTAGCAAATGTAGTTGCTGGTCAAGATTGTGGCGCTACTCCCCACGGGCTGCGTTAGCAGCAAAGGAGATGGCTAGGCTAAATGCTAAATGCTAACAACACACTCGGGCGCATTGCATATGTCACGGTAAACTCAGATCCAATCGTTTCAATCTGCAAAAGGAGTTCACCCCTCCCACCTGTTCACGGAGCTCAATGGAGCAAATCCAGACCTTAGTATGAAATGTAATTTGTACTATGGCGTGGTACAACCAGGCTAGTTCAGACCTAGTTCAGACCATAGACTGTATATAATAACGGACAGAGTCACGCCTATCTCCGCCGTTCATAGGAGTTGGCCATGAAAAGTGCTTTCATGGAGCAATCCAAGATGGCCGCGAATGGTCCCGCCCACAAGAAAATTGTGAAAAAACGCATCTGCGCATGCGTCAGCCGGAGCAGCTCCATTCATTTGAACGAGAGACTTCAAAAATTCACAGCGAGTAAACTAGAGTGGACCAAAACAATCCACCCCCCTCAGCAGTGACACACGTGTGGAACGGAGCTTTGGGCCAAGAGCCAACTTTTGGACCATCCTGTAAAGACTTTTTTGAGAGGTCTGCTAATGCTATATGTTAGCATTGGCGAATTCTTCTTCCGGGTCCACCCCCACAGGCCCGGGGTGGTATTGCAGCATGTCAGCGCACGTCATTTTGGCCACTTTTGAGCTGGGACCCGACCCCACTGGTTCAGACCTATTTCAGACCTATTTCAGACCTATTTCAGACCTAGTTCAGACCTAGTTCAGACCTAGTTCAGACCTAGTTCAGACCTAGTTCAGACCTTGTTCAGACCTAGTTCAGACCTAGTACAGACCTTGTATTACATCTCAGTTGTTTTCAAACATGGATTGTTTCATTCACACAGAAACAAATCGCTCACACACTTTCAGCCTGTTTATATATTTTCTAGACCTGTGTTTCCGCCTCATTCCTAAATTGGACTCTTTAGAACACAGGTGTCAAAGTTGAGGCCCGGGGGCCAGAGCCGGCCCGCAAATGAAATATCTCAGTCCCCTGGATGATATTTGAGTAGTAGAGCCATAAGAAAATGTTGTTTCAAAATTTGTTAAATTTTAATGCGTTTTCTCTCTGAAAGAAGTTTGTTTTTGTCTATGAGCTGTTGAAACATGTTTTCACTTGAAATGACTGGATTATTCAATTAATCATTAAATAAAATACGGTACACTGTGTTGGGTCTTGGTTCAATTATATGCAATCATTTGCATATAATTTAAATGTTTTACTAAACATTGAACCAGTCCGACCCTCAGCTTAAAGCAAATCTTGTTTTTCGACCCTCTGATGTATTTGACTTTGACATCCCTGCTTTAGAGGGTCATTTCTCTGTGATGGGTGATTTTGGATACTTTAAAAACTCACATGAAGGTCAAGGCTGCAGTATATTTCTCTGCATTTTTCAATGGCTCCTCCTCACAGTCATTGTATTTGCAGCTTATCATTTGGTCAAAGACAAATACTGACACAGGAAAGTCTGAGAGAAAAGGGAGTAATTACAAGACAAATGAAGCACAGAGTATTGGCCTTTGCCGCTGTCAGCCGTGTCCTGTCTGCACTGATCATCAGCTCACTCTCTCATCAGCCTCCGTCGTCTCTCTGCCTTCTCTCTCTCTCTCTCTATACCTCTGCCTCTCCATCTTTCTCTCACTCTCTCTCACGTAACACATCCACTGTATCTATTTGAGCTGATTATAATGTAAAGATGAGACTCAACAGTTGGAGTCAGTGTTTTTTATACATAGCTTACTGGTGTAAACTTGTTTTCAAACGTAAAAAAGGAATAAAACAGTTCTCATAGGAATAGTTCTAAAAGCTAAATTCCTAACACTAGTCATCTGACTGCGTATCTACATCTGGAGTCGTTATTCTTCTCCGTCGTGGTTTCTGATATGCAATGCAGGAAGCAACCATTAAATAACTATAACTGATGTTTAAAAAGTACTATTAAGTAGTAAAAAAGGACAGTTAAAACAAAGGACGACAGCTGATTGTGACGCTCTACGCACAGGGGTCCCATGAGACCGTGACACTCTTCAAACTGATGCATTTGGGATAAACTGAACGATGCACCCACACCTTTTGAAGATTCATAGGATTATCTTCCGGTGGATCCTCTGGGCTTTTGGTCCTCCTAATTGTCAATCATTCTGGTGATATGTGATGTAAGGCCCTCGTACATGCTACGAGTGTCTTCCTTCTGACGGCCCGTATGTCATGAGGTGAGAAGCAGGAAGGACTCAAAATGCAGGAATGCCAAAACTAATGATTTAATGATGATAAAATAAAACTCCAGGAGAAAACAAACTCAAAATCCAAAGGTACACAGAACCAGGAACAGGACGGAACAGACATTGACAATACAATGGACCAGCAACAAGAGGAGAGAAGCACAGGTATACATATAGACACAGACACAGGTGAAACACATCAGAGCGGGGCAGACAATCAAGACAGGGGATCAAGACAGGAAGTCAAACTAAAAACAAAAGAACATTGAACTGATATAAAAAAAAAAAAACAACACCATGACACTGTACACACCGCGAGACCAGTGAGTGACGCGCACCTCTCCTCGGCAGAGTAGGCTTGCGTCACACGGCTGTACACACACCAGCAGAGTGGGACGCACTGGTCAAGCAGGTCTCACATCCCGCAGCCTTACCCGGGCTCCTACAGTGTGCAACATGCAGGTTCAGAAGCCTGGCGAGGCATGAGTAACGCTGGTTTTTACATGCACCTGTTTGAACTCCTGCATGTGCTGAATCACTTTGGCATTGAAATCTCCCTGAGCAATTATCCACGTATCCGTTTCTTATTTGTTACTGTTACTTATGAATATACAGTTTTAAATTAGATAGGAATTTGATTTGATTATTTTGATTATTAATTTGAAATCCTGGTTTGTAACTATGACAAATATGTCCTGATTTACCTGTGCTAATTGGACAGTTCTCTTTGTCTGCTCTCGCTGGAACTGCTGTGTGCATTCAGACTACTGCTCCGCGAATACTCATTTAGAAACGTTTCCTATGAGACGCATGAGCAACAATGCTTACCAAACCAAACAGACTACCTATGGGTCACGGGCGGATTGGTGTTCTCTGGGCTTCAAGCACTTTAATGCAATACAACAATGCAATGTTCTGTTCTAAAATTAATCTCTCAACACAAATTTGACAGTCACTTGAATTTCAAAACCAGCTAATGCTAATCCACATTAAAAAATATGTTAAAATAACTGGTACAATACTCAATTATGAGAAGACACTTTATTGTTCTGTAACTTAATTTTGTTTTTAGCATCTGTCTTTCACGAAACTGTCACGTTGATGCAATAACAAAGCAGCAGCGGCACAGCCTATGATATGACCCATTTTCCAGGCAAGGATTCATGTCACGCTATGTTCGCCATTGCATCTCCTTCACACCTTATATGCACTGTTGAATTCAAATGTCTTTCTCCCATCCCTGGCATATGCGTGTGCACATGTGTCTATCTGTTGCGGTTTGTGTGCACCAAGCTGACTGCTAAACAGCTGAGGCCAAATTGAAAGTCAGGGCTGTCATTCTCTATATTTGCCAAATGACTCATTCGCAACGCAAATGTGTTTGGACAGACAGTTAGTATTCAAGCAGTTAGGTTACATTTCTGACAGTGGCAAAAATAATTACTGGAAGGAAAAAGGAGGCTGAAAGAGGAAAACAACCCAGGCCAATAAAAAGTGGAATGAGCCAAGAAAAAAAAAGGCTTTATTTGGGTTGGAAAAGTGTTGCTGAATGTGGGAAAGAACAATACATTGGTTCAGTCACTACATTTAGATCCGCAATTTTGTCTCATTCTCCAGAGATGGTCTGTCAGGGCTTTAGGTGAAATTAGAAAAACCAATGCCGTTTCTAAATCGTACAATATATACAGTAAGTGTTTTGTCTGCATGGGTTGCCTTGGTCTGTTGGGAACCCATCATTACATTTCCTGTCTTAGAATCAATTCTCCTTTTTGTTGTTGGCGAATTTTGTAGAGTCCCCTACTGTTTTAACTCTCTGACTATGTTTAAAACCAAGTTAAAAACTGTGCTGTTTAGCTGTGCATACAACTGAGGGATTTTATATTTTTATCTTTCTTTTTAATGTTCTGTGATTATTTATGATTTTAATGCTATCTTGTTCAGCACTTTGAGTTGCCTTGTGTATGAATTGTGCTATACAAATAAACTTGCCTTGCCTTGCCTTGCCTTGCCTTGCCTTTAAATCAGGGCTAAACAAAAATGTCATAAAATTATGGGAGAAACTGATAAATGGCTGTTTTAAATCATTTTATCTAAACTCATGCGAACCAGCCGATTGTTCCGATTCAGCAACATTTCAGAAACGCTTCTATTTACAACTGTTTGCAGAAAGGAGCAGAAAGGTGTGCTCTGAAAAAAAAAAGACTTACAGAATATATATTTACAGACTATATAGCACCAACCAGAGGCCTGAGGGAGCCAGACCACAGCTGCTGTTTGCTGAGGATGAGGAACTCTTACATGTCCTGGGATTGTTTGCAGTAGACTGTGGAGCTCCAGGTGGATGGAGGTTCATCCATGAGGGGAGAAGGTCAAGTATCTCAGGCTGGGCGGTCTCACATCTACAATATAACTCTGCGTCTTTCATATAATGCATCAAATACCCCCTCAGCTATCAAACAGGAAATACTCACCCTTCAAGCGACTGCCAGATCAGAAACTGGCATCATTATCTTGTCCTCGAGGAAGAGAGGAATGGAAGTGGAGATGGACTGGAGCGAAGCGGTCGCTGTATCAGACTGTGGTGAAACCTCCAACGCCACAAACATCACTGACTTGATTTAATCTATGTTCCCACCGTCACCTGCAGACATGATCTTTGGCAATGACCACAAGAATTAGACCATGGATTTTTCCCCCCCTGCTTGTGGATTGGGACCAGACGTGTCCTGACTTGTTTGGGGTAGAAGACGGACTGGGTCTTGTACGGTAATATAGTTTTCTCTTCCAAGTTGCCATATGGAATTTGTTTTAGTAGTAGTAGTTTATTTGGACAGTTTTACAATGCATTTTTTACAGGTACATATAATTTCAAGAAACAGAGCTCAAAAGGAGAAGGCAAAAAGCTCATGTGTGCATTTCCCATTATCAATACTACGTTAAAGCAACTGCAAAAAGATGCAAGTTTTCCTGATTTTTACCATCTTCATCATCATCATCTTGTCTTGGGATTCCTTTTCCTTTTGAGAAGGAATAAGCAATGTCAATCAAGATATGACATCAATCAAGTTGTGTACAATGGCATGAAAAAAGACAATCATTACCATATTGTCAGTTTCCAGTTGGTTAATATTTTGATTAACAGACAGGGTTTTCACTTCACTACCAACCCAGGTCAAATGCTCCATGCCATGGTTGAACTTCTCCCCAAGTGTCTGCGGCGGACCCACTCCTACATGGGTGCTGACAACAGGACGCCTCTGCCAGGAAGCCGTTCGCCCTTTTCCTGGCTCCGTCACCCTCATGTCCTGGCCGCCACATATCTCCCGGGTTAGCACATATGTTGTTTATACTATGGACACACATCTACGCAGACTGCCCACCAAGCTACGGCCTATCTAGCTATGTGCATTTCCTGTTTTTCCACTCACCCACTCTTGTTGTCACAGGGGCCAGAAAGCAGTGGGAGAGATACGCATGACAAAGTCGCTCTTTATTAAATTGGCAAAGGGCTCTGTAGTGCTGTTGGAGTGAGTGTTTGTGTGCTTGCCTGTTTCAGAAAAAGACAGAGGAGAGGGCTGAGGGAGCGAGATGGAGAAAGATGGGAGTGGGGACCTAAGCCAAAGGGCTGGAGGCTTATCCACTATCCACTTCAGGCTCATCCCGGGATATTGCAGTTTTCAATCCCAGATTCAGGAATAGAAGAAACCTTTGCCATGTAGGTAAAGCAAAGCATGGTTCAATGCATGATACTGTATTTTGTGTGTGTCACAACTTAGAGTATCATGTACGCTATGGTCTGGCTCCACTTGTTTAAGATGACATATTGTATTATATCTTCAACGTTAACAAACAGTGAGCACAAGAATAAGAATTACATTCTCCGTGCGCCCTAAGAAGAAACCTTTTGGATGCCTCCAAAGTCTCATAATTCATAACTTTTTGTCTCATAACTTTGCCTTATATCTCAAACTGTTAGTGTACATAGGGCTGTGGTCATGCATATATTATAAGCAGACGGTCGGCCAATGTAATCACACATTATTTTTACTTTGGGCCATGCGCCGTGCCGTGCTGTACCGTGACTATGGAAAAGCGGCATTAAATGCACCACAAATACTTTTAAGCTTTGTTTTTGCTTCGAGAGGAATATCATTATTATCTTTTCATGAATTTGTAGTTTTTTTATTGATCTATAAAGAGGCGTTTACATCGGATCATGTGTTGAGAAAAATCTAGATGGAAAGGTAATGGTGACCAACGTCGATGTCAATATTCACATGTAAGTCACGTGTTTTTGTTTGGTACGGCAGATGAGGTTTTGTGGCACGGCAGATGAGTTTTTTTTGGGCCTGTGGGTACGCCAACTTGACGCTTGCGACGCAGGAGATGACCATAGTTCAACTTTTTTGCTCAACGCACATGCGGCAACCAATCAGAGAGCATCGACGTGGTCACAGGGACAGCACCCAAAAGAGCAGGAAGACAAATCGAAAACAGCCAGAACAAAAACCTAGACCAGGACTAGACCCGGACTAGACCTGAACTCGCCGCTGAGCTGCACTCGTGTTTAGGAACTCGTCTGCATCAAAACCTTCTCACCACTTCTGCTCTGCATTCATGAGTCATCTCAGAGCAGTGTGATTAAGTTAGACTTACTAAACTCATGCTGCTGAACTTTCGTGAAGGTGCGTCCAAGACCCAATATCGCTGCATTGAACACAGCTTAACAGTGGTTTTACAAAACGGCATTTTCCGTGTTCTTTTCCCTCCTCCACCAAAGAAAAACAGTCAAGAGCTGCAAAGTGTTTAGCAATTGATACACTTTCAAAGATTTAAAGCTTTAAAATAAATGCACCTGTTACAAGCACTGAATAAATCAAACATAAATTATCCATGGATGGGAAATGTTACTGTAAGTGTCTGTATGGATGCATTGTTACAATCCTAATATTTAACAGTAATGATTAATATTTTTATATTTGGTCAGAGTCAAAGGAGCCACGACAAGGAAGAGGCGCATGTAGCCGCAGGATCCTGGGCCCTGCTCTGTCACAGTCTGAGGACTATGCAGATGCATGAAACTCTGGTTTACCAACAGGAAAATACAGTACAACAAGTTTTACTTTACAGAACAAGAGTCTGACACTTTGACAGGAAAATGTGTAGGAGAGCTACATTAGTCATAACCTGCTGTGGGCTGCTGAATATTTGATCTGGTCTCATCTTACACTGACCACTGCGTAAAACAGTCAAGTTAACTTCATTTATAGTTAAAAGACTCAAATCATTTGCTTAGAACACATGTTAACGGAGACATATTATGCAAGATTTACTTTTTTGAGCTTTAAACTATATGTTACTGGCTTTTCCCCCAATACTAAATACCAGAAACATCTAGCACCAACATGTAACTCCGCCCCTTCTGTCTAAATCTCCTGTCCAGTCCTGTAATAGTATGATGTCATTGTACCACTGTGACATCACACTCTTCCTGATTTTATTTCCTCTTGAAATAAAAGTATTGTCCCTAAATTCCTTTTGGCAATGTATAAGGTCAAATAAAGTTACTTATAATTCCATGGCTGTGTTTGCAGCCAGTAATTTCTGGATCAAAAAACAAAATAAATTCTGCTCCTACAGAAAGCATGTTTTTGTTTCCATCCATCCATCCATTTTCTACCCTTTAATCCATTTCTGGGTCAGGGGGGTGGCAATCAGAGATGCCACCCAAGTCTCATAGCACCAGTCTGTTTCCAGACTGGTTTGATTATAATGCTCTACTCAACAAAAGGTCTCCCAGTATTATAAAACTACTAGAACTCACAAAGCCATAATTTTGACTGCTCCCGTTCAAAACAAGGGAATTCCGAGAAACTAAACCAGGTTATTTTAATGTATAGATTTTTTTACCTGAGCTTTTACTAAGAGTTAAGACTGATGGTTATAACAGATAATTGAAAGGCTACCAAATGCTAACCGCTGGTGAACCGTGTGTTGCTATGGTTACTATTGTGACTAAGCTTGCGTAATTTCATATAGACAGTGGATAATCACAACAATTGTTGAGGGTGCCCAAACTTTTCACAATGTCATTGCGTATCTAAACATTATATTCTTGGAAATACATCATGTTCTTTTCATTTCCCTTCAATACATCCATGAAGCAAAACAAATTAGAAAAATATGACAGTGTAGTTGTTTGGAGAATGGACAAAGCATGAGAAGAGGACAAGATAAGAGAGGGATGTGGTAACAGAGTGCACCCTCCCCTTTGGATCTGTGAGTCTGACCTGCTCCTGCTGATCCCAGTTCAACCAGGTCCAGGACCAGCATGGGGCAGGACCAGAACAGTCACATGAAGTCCCCTCTGTAATCAAGTTTAAGACCAAAGATTGTATCCGGAGTTCACTCAAAGAGCCATCTGTGCACATATAGAGTGGGTTATCCAACAATAGATGTCAATCAATGCTACAAATATCAAAACTATATACACTCAATGCTAAATTTGACATTTCCTGATTGATTTGTGAACACTTTTATATTTTATAAGAAGAACTAAACACTTTTTGTTATTACATAAAGTGCTTTTTCTTTGTCTTTTTACAACATTTAAAGGAGTAATATGTAAAAAATCTGGCCAAAAGTGGTACTGCAATCTCTTCTACTCTTCCCGACTCAGGTTGCCAGATATGCAGACGAAGCCAACTGGGACCATAATATCTGAATAGACAACAGTTTTGTCAACAGCAAATCTATAACAATTTGCAGCTGCGGCTGTAAAGTGCCAAACTGCTGTTGTGTCCTTAGGCAAGACACTTCACCCCCATTGCCTAGAATGAGTCTGGTGTGTGTGTGTGAATGGTTGGTGGTGGTCAGAGGGGCTGATGGCACAGACTGGTTGCCTCGGTTTATCACCACCGTGTATGGAGTGAAAGAATACTGACATGTGTCTCTGAGTGTCCAGAAAAGCGTGTATATACATGTAAAACCAATGCATTATTTTTATTATTAACAAACACCTTTTTCACAAAGACCTCGATTGAAAACCTGGTTTTATTCCGTGTTTTGTCGTTAATGATTTAAGAATCATAACAAGACCTTTTTTATTAATGCGGCCACATGGTACTTTACCAGTGAGATTAGCCGGACGCAGTGAGTTCTGGCAACCCGGATCATGGACTTACTGATTGGTAAAACGGTGTGAATCGAAATGAAAACAATAACAATATTAAGTGGCTGTAAATCTAATTTTAAAGTTTGAATATCTCGGCTGAACTACTTTCATCAGTTAAATGAGTGTTCATAAAGAGCATGGTTTGATATTGCCTTTTGACAGATTAGAGCCATTTAATGATGTCTTGACATGAAAATCTTACATAATATTACTTTAATCTGAAAAATCAGCCTCTCTGTGGTATCTGTACTGGCATTGAGGGTCTAGTTTATTCATTAGACATTTTAGAGTGGTTACAAGTTTAGTAATTAGTTATTAAAAGAAATGTAATTGTTGAAATGTTTCACAAAATCAAAGTCCATTCCATGTTTTAGTTTAATTATATCTCCACTGAGACAAGCATGTGGCAGATCCTTTACCACTAAATTGATATTTTTGATGGTATTGTCCTGACGGGGAAATCACACAAACAGAAAAAAAACTCTGAATTCCACAACATGCACCAATCTAACACACACACACACACACACACACAAAAACACAGCTCCCAAATGTTATTTTTTTGCAAAGTTCGAAGAGGGCACTATATCTGAAAAATTGGTAATGTAATAAAAAAAAAAATTAATTGATACTGATTGTCCCCTAATGGCATGACAATATGGCATAATACCTAGAAATCGCCATGGAAACAAGCCAGAGAACACAGTTATTCTGGCAATTAAAATCTCCTGAACAGAATACATGAAATATAGTTCTGATTTATATTACATAATGCGGAAGACTCAAAGGTATTTGTGGAAACACGTCCTCTGCATTTGACCCATTCTTTTCCTGCTGCTGGGATAGAATATTAGGTAGTAATGAATTGAGTGGTTTTTATCTTAATTTGAGGACATTCTGAGAAGATTCGCCAATTGGACAAGCAAATACGTCTCATGTCAAGAACTGTTCCTTTATTTTCTCATCCAAAGAGATACATTTCTTGTATATTTTCAAAAAGGCAGTTAAAATGTGCTCAAACTGAGATACATTTTGTCAAATTTGAGGGATTTTTAACTTATTCTCTCTCACTTTTTTTTGCAGTGCGAGCTCAGAAGCAGATGGTTTATTTTGTTTGTTTATGCATAT